ACGCAAATAAATGGAGTAAGTGAACTCAACTGAACACATATTCATTACGTTCATTCCTTATCTTTTTGGACTAAAATCTGAAAAGTGTCAAAACGCCAGAGCGTAAGCGAAATACGCTCACTAAAAGAGAATTACAGGAAAAAGTAAAGGAACGCAAAAAACCAAATTTTTAGTCCAAAGAATGGCAACAACAAAACTAACGTCAAATAAGAATAGAAATGCATGTACAAAACACATACACAATAAAAACTTCGCGATTTTTAATTAAAAATTTTCATAATTTATCGAAGTATCGATTTTATAATAAAAATCGCCGCACGGGAAAATTTTTAATAAAAAAACCGCGCGATTTTCGATTAAACATTTTCATTACTTATCGAAGTATCGATTCTAAAATAAAAAGCGCCGCAGGCGAAGCTTTTTAATAAAAAAAAGCGCGCGATTTTTAGTTAAAAATTTTCATTATTTATCGAAGTATCGATCCATGTTATTTATATTAACTACACAAGATTGTGGTGCGTATTTTCACCATCGGAATTTGCTATTAAATACAGAATTTCGCGAAAGTGTACACTTAAAACATCACAAATGTATAAAAACAATAAATACGTGTTGAATTGAGTTCATTTATTCCATTTATTTGCGTCAAATTCATCAAAACATAGTGCGGAAAGTACAAGAGTTTTTTGCAAATAACTCTTTAATGAATTAAAAATGTTAATTTCCGGATTGTTATTATTGGCGTTAAGACGCTTAGATTGATACCACTTTCGAACTTTTTCCGTCCATTTTGACCTGGTTTCGCTAAAATGCACTACTACCGAATAATTTATCAGATTCTGTTTATACTGAGAATCATACATGAACCAGTGGGCATTTTTTGTGTCGCATGCAGTTGCTAGAAATTATTTTGGCCTATGTTGCACCATTACCCGTAGTATTAAAACACGTCACTAAAGCACTTGTATCAAATACATCAATTCTTATCTTTGAACAATCAAATCAACTGGATTAAATACACTTGCATTTATGTATACTAACCCTTTCTAAACATTGTTTTTAAAAACGCAGAATCGCCCGGAGTCTATCAAAGTCTCTAAGAGAATGAATTACTTAAGTGATATGAAAATGTATTCATGTCTATACATCAGAGGTAGGCACTCACACTATCACACACATGCGCTTTTGTGCGAAGCAGAGAAGTTTCGTTCACCAGCCAGTGCTCGGAGTTTACCACATTTGTGGAATAGATAACACTTTTTTTGCTAAATTATATTTCTACTACTTCTACCACCGTAAGCTAAAAAACTTTCAGATCTTAAAACTTATTTTTTTTTTTTAATTTGTCCATTTGCGCATTAATGAGTCGGCATTTTCTACAACAAAAAACAACATTGCTTGCTGCGACGTCGACACATGTACGATATGATCGTCTTCGTGCGTCTTACGACAATTGACGATTGACTGATGCTTTGCTTAGAGCTGTCAAACTATCGATAGTGAGGCCACTCGATAATTTGCGATAGTTTAGCTGCACTATCGATACTATCGCTATTATCGAAATTTTTTTATTATATATTAAGCATACTTTATTTAATTTCTATAAGTGTACAGTAGACTGCACATCGCCAAAAAAGCAGCAGGATAACAAAATCTAGTATATTTTAAGACTTCTACCAAATTTTTTCGTAAAAATTTTAAGATTTACGTGAGGTGGACCAATTTGAAAATACCTATAAAAATGGTTTTTTATGAATAAAAATAACTTCTTAAAAGATCTTTTGGAAAAATTCCCTCTGATGAAAAAATTTTAAGTTTAAAAAATCTACATAAAAATATTAAAATGTTGTATCAACGGAATCATAATAATGAGATGTTTTATGCTGTTTTCTTAAACTTTTTCAAAGATTTGTGTAAGAAAAACTTGAATAACCGCTCCAAAACTTTACCGATATAGACTTGTTAGGTATTAGCGGAAAGGTATTTTCTTACCCGTTTTATTTCTTTGCAAAAAGACTCATTCACGTCCCAATTTTTTCTTTATCAAATACCAACACATCTTAATTCAACATGGAATGACACTCGTTTATCTTACTTTCATACTTTGAATAAGCTTATTCGCAAAGAAATTAAAAGAATGAGAAAATACCTTACCAATGATACCTCATAAGTCTAAATTGGTAAGGTTTTGGATGAGTTATGCAAGTTTTTCTGAAACCATTCTTTAAAAAAAGTTCAAAAACAGCATCAAAAATCTCATTATTACGATTCCGCGTTCCGCGAATGCGTTTTGAGTCGCAATGTTATGTCTTGTTTAAAAAGACATTAGAAACTGTGTCCTAGTCACTTTGAAAAGGTGTAAGAGGGTGATCGAGCACTGAAGCTTTTAGAATTAAAAGCAGCGTTCTTTATTAAATTTATGGTTGGTGAAAGTAATATACATCAACACGAAAATTATCAATGTCTATCAAAAAATGATTCTCTGTCAGAAAATGATAGAACTTTGGCTTTTTATTTAGAATTTCTAGAAAAGTTTTACGTATGCAGTTTTATAGCCCATTTAAATTTAGTAGTGCAAATTTCAAGCGCTAGGAAATCGCTTTGATTTTTAATGATTGGCAATTTCTTTTATATGGAAGAAAATGCCTAGCACCGTCAGCAAAAAAAAATATAAACATTAAATAAACAAAAATATAAATAGCCAAAACTGGTCAAAATGTCACTTAACTTAATCAGCTGACCATAAGTGCGTATAACATATTTATAAATTTATTTATTTGAATCTGCCACATTGTTTTGGAATGTACCACAATTTTTCATGCATATTTACCACTAAGAAAACTTTTCCCTCCGAACACTCTCAACAGCAACTGATTTGATTTGCTTTGCCGAGATTATCGTAAGACGCACGATACATATACATAAGGTATATTGCGAATGTGGAATTTTAGACATCCGCGGATGGGAACGCGGATGCGAATATCTAACAGCTAACATCCGCTAACATAACCATTCGAATCTAGCATAATGGCGAGGCCAAACCAGATGTGTCAGGTTTTTCTAAAGCATTTGAAAAGAATTCTTCATTCTCATTACTTTGGCTGTTACAAAATTGAGGACTTCTAACTTCACCAACGTTTTTCGATTTAATTTCTGTAATTAATTTTTAATACTTTCTTCTACAACTGGTTTTAAAAATGTGTGCTTATAGCGAGCTAAATAGGTGGATATGAAAAATAAATTATTATTTTCCAGGAATGAAAACTTTGAACAAAATTCTGTTTACAAAGTCATGGCTCCCAGCCGAATCGGATCAGAATATTGTTATTTAAAAAAAAAGCACCCTGTTTTTTATAAGCGTTTGAATCTCAGATAGTTACATAATTCTTATCTTATTAAACGACAGACCTATAGTTTCTTAATTATTTAAGCATCGGTTCTCTTTATAGCCAGACATTTATCATTTCTGCTGGAAATCTCTATTGAAGGAGCTTACTCTTTGACTTTAAATAGCACAGAAGGGACAGTTTTACCACAGAAATTTTTAGCCAAGGATCCAATGTATATCCCTATGGGAAAAATATTGCCCGACAAGTAAACAAAATAATTGTTTTTAAAATTTTTGCTAATAATAAATTCCCCAAAGGGCGACATTTGAAATTATTTAAACGAATATATGTAACATTAAAATTAAGAATTACATTGCACGCTTTCTTCATTTTTTCTATTAGTTTTTTTTAAGATTGGTAAAAAAAAATTATAATAAAGAAAGAAAGCAATGCAGTTGCACAGAAAAAAAAACATTCTTAAAAAGGCTATGTTCTCTTTGACGTACCTCAAAGGTCAAGTAGAAGTTGGAACTTGTATGGCTGCCCATTGATAGCTCGGTTATATAGCTTAAGAAATAATATGTTTAAAGACATTTTTATCAAAGTTGATAAATACGACATTTGACCAGTTTTGTTACAAAAATACTCCCACGAACACAGGCAAAAATATTGGCAACAATTTGTCATTTTGTTTGACATATATACGTTTTATCGGTGCACTTGCACAACATTCGCATTCGCAAAGGCTCCGCATTGATTATTGCGAATGCGAATGTTGAATTTAATGCGGAAGCTCCGCGGTTGGAATGCGAATTCGAATATTCGCAACAACCCTGGTATACATGTGTCGACGTCGCAGCAAGCAGCATTTTAAAGCCCAATTACATGTGTTTGGAAAATCAAAAAATGCCCACCTCTGACATAGGTACATATCTCTTTTTTCGTTCCTAATTAGACCAGCAAACGCAGTGTTTACTTAGCATACATATGTATATGTATCAGGGTTATTGAGAATATTCGCTTTCGCATTCGCAACCGCGGAGCTTCCGCATTAATTTTAACATTCGCATTCGCTTTCGCATTCGCAATAATCAATGCGGAGCTTTTGCGATTGCGAATATTTTGCAAGTGGACCGATAAGACGTATATATGGCAAACAAAAAATTATATATTGTAGCCAATATTTTTGCCTGTGGTCGTAGGAGTATTTATGTAACCAAACTGGTCAAATATCATATATATCAACTTTGATAAAAATGTCTTTAAAATATTATTTCTTAAGCTATCTAACCGAGCTATCAATGGGCAGCCATAAAAGTACCCACTTCTACTTGACCTTTTACGTTCGTCAAAGAGAACATAGTCCTTTTAATAATATTTTTTTTCTGTGCTGTAAATACCTGTTTTGGCTTTTTTCTTTATTATGATTTTTTTGGACCAATCTTAAAAAAAACTACTAGATACAAAAGAAGAAAGTGTGCATTGTAATTCTTAACAAAATTTTCGTGATTTGCTTTTGATGTTATAGGCGGCATACACGGTGCGTCTGACTCGTGAGTCGGTTTGGATGTGTTTGTGAAAATAAATATGTGTTAGTTGCACCAACATGACTCCCGGCATGGCTCTGAATGATTCAACTGTGTGTAGTCCAAGGCGAGTCAACACGTACACAAATGACTCGCTAGTCGACGTAGCGCGTATGCCACCTATTACATATATTCGTTTAAATAATTTCAAATGGGGCTCTTTGGGGAATTTATTTTTAGCAAAAATTTTAAAAACAGTAATTTTGTTTACTTGTCGGATAATATTTTTTTCATAGGGATATACATTGGATCCTTGGCTAAAAACTTCTGTGGTAAAACTGTCCCTTCTTTTAAAGTCAATGAGTAAGCTCCTTCAATAGGGATTTCCAGTAGAAATGATCAGCGTCTAGCTATAAAGAGGATCGATGCTCAAATAATTAAAAAGCAGGGGCATAGCAGTTGTTAGTTTTATAGCAAAACCGTTGCTGCATAACAGTTATTAGATGAGAAATATTTTTTCTTTCGTCGATAAGAGTTATAACCCAACGTTTATTTTTTACGTTGCCTGATAACTGTTATGCTGGAGAAATATTTTTTCCGTTGCCGATAAGAGTTATTTCCCAACGTTCATTTTTTACGTTGCTGGATAAGAGTTATTTTACAACGTTTATTTGTTACGTTGTCTGATAAACGTTGTAAGATTAGGATATTGATGAAGATGGAGATGGAGAATAAAATAAAGACGATGAAATAAAAGTGAGAGAGTGAAATAACTATTATCAGATAACGTAAAAATATTCGTCGGGCAATAACTGTTTTCAAGCAACGTAAAAAATAAACGTTGGGAAATAACTCTTATTAGCAACGGAAAAAATATTTCTCATCTATTAACTGTTATGTTTTCGTTAAATTTCAGAATTCAGTCAACGTTTTCAATTTGTAAATTCGAGATAACAGTTATTTTTGGTCCCTGTTAAATAGCAATGGGTCTGACCTTTAATTAGATAAGAATTACGTAACTATCTGTTATTCAAATGATTATAAAAAAACGGGGTGCTTTAAAAAAAATAACAATATTCTGATCCGATTCGGCTGGCAGTCACGACCTTGAAAACAGAATTTTGTTCAAAAATAATAATCTATTTTCATATATCGTCCACAACGTTCGTACTGTGCGGTCGCTTAAACATTCGATTTAAAGATTTCCTAAAGTTACTTTGTTTATCTAAGTGCTAAGCAGTTCTAATTTGTGTAATTTATACTGGAAAAAGCTATTTGAAGCCAAGCTCCAATAAATTGTTGTGTTTTAGACATAAAGTGCGTGGATTAAAAATTAAAAATTAATATTCTTGTCATTCATTATGCATATTTGCCTCTTTTGGTGCATTACCGTTGTTTTGCATGAGAGTGCATTTTCCCATCTTCCGCGATTTATCATACATTTTGCTTATCATCGATCAAATAATTTTCCTGCAAACAGCTGATTTTGGCTTGCTTTTAAGCTTTTAAGCTTTTTTGCACAGTGACTTTAAAACTGTTAAGGTCAGCACGGTTTCTCA